CAGGGCCCACACTAATTCCAAAGGCGGATCAACGTACGCCCACGAAGGATTGTCCGCCCGTTCAGGTTTGCCCGCCTGTCTAAGCCCGCCGCTCCCCGCAAAGAGAAGAAATCCCCCCAAAGGGGTGTGACCGAAGACGAAAAGGGCGGGTATCGAGGGTGTGGGGAACTCGTTTGGAATGACACACAGGCAAGTAAGAGCGAACAGTCTTATACTGATTGTGATTGTTGTTGTTGTTGCTGTTGTTGCTGTTGTTGCTGTTGTTGTTGTTGTTGTTGTTGTTGTTGTTGTTGGTGTTGCTGCTGCTGCTGCTGTTGTTGTTGTTGTTGTTGTTCTTCTGGTTCTTGTTCTTGTTCTTGTTCTTGTGGTTGTTGCTGTCGTCGTTGAATTTTCATTTTTGAAGAACCAATATTGTTAATACCCCCACCGGTGCATATGGTTTTTCCAATTGAAGTGCCGCTCCTGGCGCTCGCACTTTTTTGTCAGAGAAAGTCTTGAGGCTCAAACTGGGCACCTGGCTCCCAGGTTACAACAACAACGGCTCCCGCTTGAGACCTCCTCTCACTTTAGCCAGGACCCCCGCTCCCGCCTCAGACTTCCTCGCATTTTATTCAGGAATCGCGTTCTCGCTTGGGACTTCCTGACAATGTATTCAAGACTCGCTCTCTCGGCGCTCTGGAGCCACGCTCTGGCTGGAGACGTGCTTGCAATTTACTCAAGAATGGCGCCCTTGCGTTGGAATTTCCCGCAATTTCTTCAAGCGCCGCGCTCCCGACACTCAGGCGCTCAGGAGTCGCGTTCGCGCCAATGACTCCCCCACACATTATTTAGGGATCGGGCGCAGCCCTTCGTTGTCCCCTTGCTGCCCTTCGTGGCCCCGTTGCAGCCTTTCGTGGCCCCCTCGCTGCCCTTCGTGGCCCCGTTGCAGCCCCTCGTCGCCCCCTCGCTGCCTTTCGTGGCCCCACTGCAGCCCTTCGTGGCCCCCCCGATGCCCCTCGTGGCCCCGTTGCCGCCCTCTGCGCTTCGTGGCCCCGTTGCAGCCCTTCGTGGCCCCCTTGCTGCCCGTCGTGGCCCCGTTGCAGCCGTTCGTGGCCCCCTCGCTGCCCTTCGTGGCCCCGTTGCAGCCCCTCGTGGCCCCTCTCGCTGCCCTTCGTGGCCCCGTTGCAGCCCTTCGTGGCCCCCTCGCTACCCTTCGTGGTTCCATATATTTATGCCCTTCGTGGCCCCCGCTCGTCCGTGCCCGTCGTGGCCCCATTTGCATGCACTTCGCGGCCCCGCTGTCGCCCTTTGTGGCCCCTCTCGTTGCCATTCGTGGCCCCGTTGCTGCCCTCAGTGGCCCCGTCCTTGCCCTCCCCGGCCCAATATACGTATGCCCTTTTTGGCCTCCGCTCGTTCGCGCCCGTCGTGGCCCCATGTGCATGCCCTTCGTGGCCCCGTTGTCGCCCTTTGTGGCCCCCTCGCTGTCCTACGTGGCCCCGTTGCTGCCCTGAATGGCCCCGTCGTTGCCTTCCGTGGCCCTATTATCTGCCCTTCGTGGCCCCCGCTCGTTCGCGCTCTTCGTGGCCTCATACGCATTCCCTTCGTGTCCCCGCTGTCGCCCTTCGTGGCCTACCTTCGTGCCTTTCGTGGCCCTGCTGTCGTTCTCTCTCTCGCTCTCGCTTTCGCTCGTCGTCGTCGTCGCCGTCGTCGTCGACGTCGTCGTCGTCGTGGTCGGTCCCCTGTCCGTTCCCCTTGGGGTCGGGTTGCCGCCGATCAGCGCTGCCGCTGGCCAGGCCGACGGTCCGCGGCCGCCCCGCCGCTTGCAGGGGCCCGGCCTGCAGAGAAGAAAGGTATACCCCCCGAATTGGGGTACGATCGAAGACGAAGAGGGCGAGTATCGAGGGTTTGCGAACTACGCGTCAACGGACACTCGAGCAGATAAGAGCGAACAGTCTTAAGCTGATTGTTGTTGTTGTTGTTGCTGCTGCTGCTGCTGTTGAACATTATTTATCCTAAAGAATAATTATTGTTGGGCCCCCTGGTGCGCGCCCCCCCTGCGCCGCCTAGGCCGCAGCTACATTTTCATCATTTTCGTGAGGAAGCCTCAGAAAAGAGGGTGTGTACAGGATCCGGTTGTTTTGTTGTAATCCGCTTTCCCTTGCAAAAAACAATAGAAAATGACATTTCTTGTTCTAATATAATCAAATTTCAAGAATCCCTTGCAAAAAATAAGGTAAAGTGGACATTCGCGCGCGCAAGACGAAATCCTTCCAAAACCTTAGTGTTCGCAGCGATTTTAACATAAAAACATCAAAAAACCAATGGTTTTTCAACAAAAAATTGTCAAAATCTCATCCCGCGCGCTCTTGCGGATTCGTAGGAAACCCAACACTTTTTAAACATTTCTGTCAAACGGGCTTTTGCGAGCAACTTTTTCGAACTTCTGCGACAACGGTTGCGCACCTGCCAGGGCCATCATCCCTGTCAAATAATACCATGCGGGACACATTCGTTTTTTCTT